ACAGTTGTTGGTCCTGCTACAACATACCAAATGGCCGAAAATTTTTAAAATCGGACAATAACCACGCCCCCATCCCATATAACGGTAATTTAGAAAAATACGAAATCCTCGATAAATCAGTAAATATTAAAGCTAATTTATTCAAAATTGATGGTTGCAACAATTTTTTACCAAGAAATACGCTTATGATAAAATTTTGGAAAATGGGCGTGGCACCGCCCACTTATGATCACATATATGTATCTCGCTAACCGTTCTAGCAATTTGAACCAAACTCGGTATGGTTATTGTGCTTGCCAGATAAAAGCAAAGCGTTGAAAATTATTGAAATCGGGCTAAAATAACGGCCGCTTCTCATATAACGGTATATTTCAGAAATGCTTGAAACTGCAATATTTCGAAATTTAAGGACGCTGATTTACTTAAAATTTATACACCCCGGCTTATCGTGTAGCGGTAGCTTTCGGAAAGGTGGAAAACATATATTTAATAATTGCGCCGGGTATTTAATGTTCGGCTCCGCCCGAACTTAGACTTTCTTACTTGTTTTTTAATAATCTTAAGTCTATAAGTATTATAAAAATGTAGTACACGTACATATGTATGTAAGTTTGCCGTTCATAGATTAGAAAAAAAAACTAATGAAGTAGTGATTTTGGACTGATAAAATTTAACTAATGGTGAAAAATTTTGCCCTTCCCCGGTACAAAAAGTGTGAAATGTTACACTCAACCCTGTAAAGGCGCATGTTTTTGCTTTTTGTCCGTGTCTAGCTAACGCAATTCATAATATTGTCGTTTTAAACAACCACCTAAATTTCAGGCAACTATCTCTCCTGATAAAGCTTCAAAGGGAAGAAAATTTACTTTTTTTTCGCCTTACAAGAGTGTGACATTTTAAGAAACGAACACACAATTTCACAAATCAAAAGGCGACATTTTTTGGTAGAAACGAAATCATCATAAGTGTTCTTGTTTTTCCATGTAACTTTTTACCGTATAATTTTTTTAAATGGTATTGAAGTAGTATATACTATTAATACACTCTTGCAAATAACATCAAAACTGAATGTGTGCTTCTAATAGAACCAGAGTTATGAGTATTCGAAAATTAGTATCTGAAAGGAAACTAAAACAAAAAAAAAGTCTATTTTCCGCGGGTACACTTATTTATCGATAGGTGGGTGGTGTTTTATGCTAGATAACGAAAAACCATCGAAATCGATTCACTATAACATATAGGTCTCATACAACTGATTGTTCAGATATGTGGTTTTGCATTATAATGGTGCATTTACATGGTATGAAGCCATATGAACTGTTGATACGCTAAAATAGAGGGACTACATGTTCTAACGAGGAATTCAATGATATCGGGTGGGATGCATATAATACATTTTTTCATATGAAAGGTTATGGGGAGATACTGTAAACATACTGTTGTGATACTGTTAAGCATATGAAATTATAGCGAGTTGAATTTTCATACATCTTCCCATAAAAAGTTTAACAGATGCAGAGATACCAAGGAGGATTTTTCCCATTTGGATGCCTTTTTAATATAAAAACCCACCGAAAAGGAGGAAAGCGGCAACTCCGCCATTCACATACATGTCAAAAGCATGAATTTTAAACAATAAACAAACAAATTCAAAACAAAGAAATTCTTTGTACTAGAACTTTTTCAATAGAAGGAACTCACGTATAGTGGACAATCAAAATACAAAGCACTATGATAACAAACTTAAAAACAAGACATTACAGAACATTTTAATGAGCTTTATATCACATTTAAGTAAAAATAAGCCTATATTTTCCAAGCTGGCAAATAAATGAAAATGTGTATTTTTTTTTTGTTTTTTACACAAAGACTGACTTGCCAAATATACACATAATTCAAAATTATAGAAGGCATGTATACTTCTCCCTTTCATTTTTTCATACAGTTTATTCTTCTTTCTGGCTTTTACAAAATGCAGGGATATCGCACTTATTTCGGTACAATATGATCGTAATGTATTTTCAATTCGAAATCAAAGAAAAACATCCCACGAAAATGTTTGGGATTTTAGAACAATTAGTGTATATTTGCAAACTACTGCAAACAATGGTGTCATATCTTAACATGTTCAGAGAATTAACGAAACAAACAAAAATTGTATGGTCTTTTATTTCCTTCACACCGCATTGCTAGTTTTTCTAACTTTTCCTTTAGTTTAGCGCTGTAACCTATTAAGTTATATCTTTTAATTTATACATGTTAACTGTTTTCAATGAGCATGTTTTCATTTGCTCCAGAATTTTGGGTACATTTTCTTATAGTTCCTCTCATTCTTTTTTATATTACACATATACACTCCGAAGTTCGGGATAGTATTTTGAATATACCAGCAATATATGTAAAAGTAGTGGCGGCTGCTGTAGAGCGTTACGCAGAGCCTGAGTTCAAGCCCAGTTTTTTCTAATAGTGGTTGCCCCTCTGTTGGTAATAGTAAACCTCCGAGTGTATTCTGTCATGGAAACAACTTCTCATTAACATACAATTGCCGTTCGGAGTCGGCGTAAAACTGTCCTTTACTTTGTGTGACAAAATCACCCACGCCGCATATCGGAGGAGAAGCTAGGCCAAACACTAACATATTGTTCAAGCGCCAATATGTATATCGTCGTTTAAAGTACAAAAGCGCGTATCGTGGTTCTGCAAAACCTCGGAACTGAAATTTGTGCCAAAAAAGATATTTGGTCATCGGAAGCTCCTGACATTAAGCCCTTAGCCATTTATAATAAAATATCGATACTTAGACATAAGGATCAGCGTTGCCATTTTAGCCGTTTTCCGGCTAGATTTAGCCGGTTTTGATTGCAACTAGCCGGAGAAAATTCGATCTAGCCGGCAGCCGATTTGTTAGCCGGTTTGTAAAAAAAAGTTAGCCGTTTTTAGCCGAATTTACTATTTGCCTAATTTTCAGGTGCAAAAAGTAAACAAGTTGTTCGAAAGCAATAATGCAGACCCAATGAAGATTTTTAATGAACTCAATTTTTTACTTTCGCATCTATGCTCCCTAGTGGTTATTAGCACGGACATATTTGATCCTATATGCTCCCCGTTGGAACCATACCTTGCTCCATTTCCTCAGTTTTATCACAGTTTTGAAGAGTATTTAAAAGCCAAAGTAAGCACAAACGCTTTTGACCACGAAGCCGAGAAAATAATTCGAGAAAATGGTCGCTATTTTATTATCACTTTAATAAAGGAATTACGCCAACGCCTCCCTACAAATATTGCCACACTAAAAAAATTGACTTTCAGTTGGAAATGCATTAAGAGTAATTAAACCAAAAGTATTTGTTCAACTACAGCAAGAAAAACACAAATATAATGCCGACGAAATAACATCCATAGAGATGCAATGGCAACGGTAAACGTTACATACCTGGAGTAATTTAGACTCAACTGTAAAATTTTGGGCCGCAGTTTATCAATTTCGAAATGCCCTAGGAGAAAACCCTTTCGCTGACCTTTGCAACCTAGTTTTTAGTTTTCTTGTTTTGCCTATAAGTAATGCAGAAGTAGAGCGAATATTTAGTTCAATGAATATAATAAAAACTAAGCAAAGAAATCACATGTGCGTTAAAACGTTAAACGCTATTTTATATATAAGATACGGTTTAAAACGCGAAGAAAAATGCTGCCATAATTTTACTGTAGATGACGATCTCTTAAAATTAATGAATTCAGGTGATATATACAATAGTGATTAATTTGATGATGAGGAATATACACTCGATATAAATTAATGGTGTTAACTAGTCTTTCGTTTCTTGCGATTTATTTAAATCAGTCATGCCCAGCGCAGGGCACTTGCATATGGAATTCTGCCAGCGCAGGGCACTTGCTTATGGAGTTCTGCCGACGTTGGGCATGACTGATTTAAATAAATCATGTGAATTTTCACTAAAACATTTTAGCCGTTTTTTGCCAGAGTCTATGTGAAATTTCACTAAAACATTTTAGCCGCTTTTTTTTGCCAATCTAGCCGGTCGGCCCAAAAAGTTCTGGCAACACTGATAAGGATAGAAGATTATTAAGTTTAAAAGAGAGAACCGTTTTTAATTAGGACAAGTTTCACTCTCTCCTATAAAATTTAGACAACCTCCCATACGAGGTTCTGCATTTCCTTGATGCGCGGTTTTGTACTTTAAACGAAGATATGTATAAGTATTGCATACATATTTTGGTGCCTTTTCATAGAGTTGGTGCTTCTTTTATAGGAAAATTCATAGGCTTATGAACAGATTCATACCATGTAAATGCACCATTAAGGTTTCTTACTTTTACAGACACGTAAGCGCGTAACTTGTACTTTTAAAACATAAAATATATATGTGACCTGGTCTACGGAAAGGGGGCTTAGGTGTCAAAAAATCAATTTTCACTTTTTGGTTGATTCGGATGGAAGATGAGATGCTTTTTCACGTGGTGAAAAGCAGAAAATCCTAACTTGCTTAGAAGTGTACTAAAAATGTAGAGAAAGAAGAGTAAAAATACGACAAAATATAATTTATTTATATTTATAATATTCCGACCAACAACAACACTTACTGGACCAACAACAACACTTACTGGGCGTCCGGCGCGGAGAACAATTAACGAGATAATGAGAAACTGACGAAACGAGTTGCTTACTTTTAACAGCTTTTTCACAGAAAACTAGTTTTCGCACGTAAGCTCCCTTTTCGTAGACCAGGTCACATATATATATGAACGGCAGTCGGTAAGTGCTTAAATAGTCGTAGGTTGAATGCTGAAGGTTTTAGCTTGAAGCCTGCTGTTGTTGTTGTTGTTTTACACTTGTGTTGCTCGTTCGCTATCTAGACTCCTTATGTCATGGCCGACGAAAATATATACCAAAGTTGGTTGCAGTTAAGGCGTATTAAACATACATTTTGGTTGCAGTTCTTATTCGCGGTGTTGCCACTTTCAGCAAACTACCAGGGTTGCTAACACCCCGCCCCCCGTGAATTCTCATAGGATTCACCACCAACTTCTAACTTTGCTAAACGCGAAACTGGTCTGCGTGGTAGTCCGCTCTTCGTTCGCACCTCCACGATACGTACTTGTCCGTCTTTGGTGGGAAAAACTTGAGTTATGCGGCCGCGTACCCATTGACTACGGGGCAGCGTTGAGTCGCACAATATCACCAGGTCGTTCGCTTGAAGCGGTATTGCTTTGTCCTGCCACTTAGTACGGCACAATAGCTTAGGCAGGTACTCGGCTGTCCATCGCTTCCACAACCGGTCCTTGATGTTTTGCGCGATTCTCCACTGCTTCCTTAGGCAAATCTTCTCGTCAACTGGGTGCGGCGTCTGCGTTGAATTAACGCATCCCAATAAGAAGTGATTGGGTGTTAACGGCTCATCTTCTTCATGGCTTATAGGCAGGTCAGTTAGCGGTCGGGAGTTGATGATATATTCCGCTTCTATTAACACGCTGTGCAGAGTGTCGGGTCTTGGGGCTACCTCACGCAACGTCTTGCTTAACAGCGACTTTATAATCCTTATCAAGCGCTCCCAGCAGCCTCCCGAACTGGGGTTCAGCGGACAGTTAAATATCCACTCGATGTTGTGTCTGCCAGCCTCGGCTTGAATGCGGTCAGTGACTAACAACTGCTCAGCTGCCCTCAACTCCCTTTGTGCGCCAATAAAATTTGTCCCATTATCGCTCCTTATTCTGGACGGCGTTCCACGTCGGTTTACAAAATTCCGCAGGCATAAAATGAACGCATCGGTACTCAAGTCGGTAGCTAGCTCTATGTGTGCAGCTCGAACTGTCAGGCAGGTGAATATAACGCCCCACCTTTTCTCCTTGCGCATACCGATGGTGACGTTAATAGGAGTTATGCGGTTGACCGGCAGCTGACCCATCATAGGTTGGTTTGGCTTTGCTTTGTCGATCATACACTGTTGACACCTTTGCTGAACTGCCTTGAGGAGCGGTTTCAAATTCGGTATCCAAAACTGTTGTCGGATGGCATTAATGGTGATTGCGGAATTCTGGTGATGATTTATTTTGTGAAAATGTTGTACAATCAGGGTTGACACGATATGTTTGGCAGGCATTAATATCGGTCGTCGTGCTTGCATTGGTAGGTATGTTGCCTCGTCGATGCGTCCGCTCAATCTTAATAGGCCACTTTGGTCGAGATACGGCGAAAGCTTATACAGCGAACTTCTTTTGGCGATTTTACCGCCGACTGACAAACCAGCGATCTCGCTCGAAAAGCAGTCTCGCTGTGAGGCTTGGCGACATTGGTGTTGTACTGTTGCTCTGTTTTCGAAATAGTATTGTTGCTCGCTGCTACTGTCGAACTTGGGTGGACACAAGGGGCGTGTTGCTACGTCTGCTGCATTTTGACAAGTTGACACCCATCGCCACTGCTCTTTTGCCGTTGTGCCGTTGTGAATCTCGGCTATACGATGGCCGACGAATGCCTTATACTTTCTTTCGGACGAATGCACCCATTGCAGAACCGTCTGGGAGTCGGTCCAAAAAACTGCTCGCCCTATGTTGACCTCGTGGCTGTCCTCGATGAGCTTGTACAAGCGGGTGCCCAATACTGCGGCCTGTAACTCGAGTCTCGGGATCGACATCAGTTCCGCTGGTGCTGTGCGTGTTTTGCCCATAATGAAGCGAACGTCAACTCCATTAATATGAAGTACTCGAACGTATACTACCGCAGCAAATGCGACTTGACTGGCGTCGACGAAAGTGTGGATTTCTACCTTGCCACCATGTAAGATTTGCGGCGAATAACAGCGGGGTATTTTCAACTGCTTCACGTTAGGAAACTCTTGCCACCAGTGCCACCATATCTTGTTTAGTTCTTGAGGCAGAACTTCATCCCAGCCAATCTCGCACTTCCACGCTTCTTGAATGAGAATTTTAGTAGTAATTAAAAATGCTGCTAACATACCAAATGGATCGAACACCGACATCACGATTCGTAACAACTCTCGTTTTGTCGGAGCTCGTGTTCCGTGCAGGACATCTTTCGGCAAACGGTGGAACTTCGTGTGGAATTTGTATTCCAGTAGAGGCCAAGCACTTTGTCCACTGACCCGTTGTGTTCCAGGCTAACCACTTCTCTCACGGATAACGACGAATGATTCAAACGATCTTCTACTTCTTCGCAGTTGGAGACGAAGTTCCGCAACTCGAACCCTGCTTGTGAATTGATGCTGACAATGTCACTGCAGATACTGATGGCTTGTTCAGGCGTGTCGAAGCTTGCAACTAAATCATCGACATAATGCTTGTTAATTATAGTCGTTGCGGCGTCTGGAAACTGTGCTCGATACTCCTCGGCGTTTTTGTTTTTTATATATTCGGCGATGCAGGGTGAGCAAACAGCACCGAAAATTAACGACGTCATCACATACTCTGCCACAGGCTTGCTCGCATCACCATCACGCCTCAAGTACCGCTGAGCGTGCTGATCAGTTGCGCGTATCTTGATTCGCGAAAACATTTCGCGTATGGCTGCGGACACTCCGACACGTCCCTGGCGAAACTGTAGCAAAATCCGTTTCAACGGCTGTGCCTGCTCCGGACCCTTCAATAGCTGCGAGTTGAGCGACACGTTGTTTACTGCGGCTGTGGCATCAAAGACGATTCGCGTCTTTTCGGGCTTATGGTGGTTGAATACGGCAAAGTGAGGTAAGTACCAAGCATTTTGGTGTGGCTCTCTGGCTTCTTCACGGCTTAACTTTCTTGCATACCCTTTGATCACGTACTTAGCCATCTCTTGTTTGTATCGTGTACCAAACTCGGCATCGTTCTTCATTTGGCGCTCCACTGTCAGTAAGCGTTTTTCGGCCATTGCTTTACTGTTTGGCAACTTCGGTGGATATGTTCTCCATAGTAGACCGGTTTCATATTGCTTGCCTACTCGTTTAGTTGTTCGGCGCAATATCTCACGTGCTCGCTGGTCTTCATCTGACTCCAATGAAACTGCCGGCGGGTTGACTCTAAAGCTGTCTGCTGCGAAGTACTCGTGTACTAAATCGTGTAGTTGCTGATATTCTTTCACCAACAAAACACGGGGATTCAATGTTGTAGGTAGCTTGGTTGGGCCGTACGCGACCCAGCCTAGTAGTGTTTTTACAGCTAGCGGGCTGTCGATGTCGGCTTGCACTGTTGCTGAGGTCACACCCAGGTATGCATGCAGTAGTTTTTTATCGGCAAATCTCTCAAATGCTGAAAATTTTCCTTGGCCATAGACTGCTCTGGCAGGTTCAGGTTCTTAACCGTATATACCTCCTTCAGTAAAAACTTCCTCTTCGTCGCGCAATTCTCAACTTCAATTCTTATTTTATGCGATTGTTCCGTAACAACGTTGTTGTCATACCACTGCAGCGTAAGTGGATGTATGCAACCGTGGGCTCCGATCATCTTGGCCACTTCCTCTTCTATAATTGAAATTGGCGAACCCTCGTCGAACATCGCTAATATCTCACGCTTACCTTTCGGTCCATATATGTTGACTGGCAATATTTTAAACAGTTGACCATGTGCGCTTTGTGTTTCTCGACAATTTAGTAGTGTCTGCGCAATGACATCCTCTCGTGTAGTTCGGCGTAGCATCTGCATTGTTGCATCTTCGTTGTGGAGTAGCTGGTTGTGATAGCGCTGGCAGCCACTTATGTTACACCTCCTTCTTGCACGACACTTTTGTGTGGAATGCCCCTTGCGTAGGCACGAAAAGCAAAGCTGTTGCGCCTTAACCAGGTCCCACCGCTCTTGAATACTGCTTGCCTTAAACGCATCACACTGTGGAAGCATGTGGTTACCACTACACGATGGCAAGTAAGTGAGTCCTTTGGCCGCTCAATATGCATCAGTCGACGAGGATTGCCCGATGATGCTGACTGCCTGCCACTCTGCGTGCTGATCGTCGGCATAGACAAATTATTTTAGCCAACTCGCTAAGCCACTCAGAAAAATGTTCAACTGATGGATACGGTTGTATAGTCGCAGCATGCTTCGCCCAGTCGAACTGTCGGTTATGCGGTAACTTACCCACCATTTGTTCAACAATGTTACGTTAGCTAAGTGCTGCTGGCAGTTTGCAGACTTAAGAAATGCAACAACATTTCTCACTCTCGAGGAAAACGGCGGGAAATGCTGCAGTTTACTGATTTGGAATTTAACCAAAATGTCTGGTCGCCCGAACTTGAACTCCAACTCGCTTATGACGTTCGGCACGTTGCTCGGGTAAATTAGCATGGCGGCGACAGCTTGTTTGGCGGGACCAACTAAGCACTTCTGCAACCTCATAAGGTTTTGGCGGTGGCTATACCCAAAGGTTTCCGTGGTGTCGTTGAAATTTGCGAAAAATAGCGGCCAGTCTTCGACATTGCCACTGAACACAGGCAAATCGTAAAGTTTTACTTGCGAGTCGGTCGGTGCTACGACGGCTTGAGTACTGTCACGCTGTGCTGGCTGCACGCTCTGCTCCGGAATATTCTGTGGTTGCATGCCTTCGCGAAGCCTTATTATGTCTCTTTGGCAGTGCTTTGTCTAAGCTCTTCTACGGAAGCCCTTAACGCATTCAATGTAGCAATGTCTTCTGCGGCTGCACCTCCATGACCCTCCATGCTTTCAAACGATGACTCTGATTCCCTCCTTTGATTCTCGCTCGTAACACCGGCCCGATTTCGTAAAAAATATCAGTTAGTTTCAGACATACAAAATAGCCTCCGGTACCAACTTTATTCGTTTTCACCGACAGCGTACAAGTGTAAAAGATGTTGAAGTGTAAGAACTGCTCCTGCTTACCGACGAAGGATTTAAAACGAATAAAATAAAGACGTTTAGTTGTATAAAAACGTATTATTAAGGTTTCTACTTTTACAAACACGTAAGCGCGTAACTTGTACTTTTAAAACATAAAATATATATATATATGAACGGCAGTCGGTAAGTGCTTAAATAGTCGTAGGTTGAACGCTGAAGGTTTTAGATTGAAGCCTGCTGTTGTTGTTGTTGTTTTACACTTGTGTTGCTCGTACGCTGTCTAGACTCCTTATGTTATGGCCGACGAAAATATATACCAAAGTTGGTTGCAGTTAAGGCGTATTAAATATACATTTTGGTTGCAGTTCTTATTCGCGGTGTTGCCACTTTCAGCAAACTACCAGGGTTGCTAACAAATGGGTTTTTGAATTAAACAAATTGTTAATACCTTTTTGTGCTGTGAAAGTTGTTGTTCTTTAAAGTCAAAATGACTATGTAATGCTTTCCAACAGGCGGCGGTCCATACTGCGTCATATTTGACATAAGTTGGGAAGTCATGGTAACCAAACGACACAAACCGAAACCCTACGCTCGCGATTGCTGTCGTAATCCTTATCCTTACTAATATTTTAAATCCGAAAGTGAGTTTGTTTGTTTGCTATGCTTTTTCGCTTTAACTACTTAACCGATCATAATGAAATTTTGTACACTGATGTCATTTAGCCCAACTTAAAATATAGGATAGATTTAATCTCGATTAGACAAGGGGGCGTGGCACCTCCCAACAAACGGAATTTTTCATACTGCATTACTCAGGAAATATTTTGGATATATTACTGGAACTTTATATAGAGATATATAAAATCATTATTTACTCATGGATGAGGGCTGACACTCTTTAAACAAATCAAATTTAACTTCAATTAAGGGAGTTATTTACTTCAAAATTATATCAAAAAATTTATGTCAAGATGCTTAAAAAAGCGGTAGTTCGAATAAATTTTGAAAAGGGTTCACCTGTTTGAAAAGTCAAGTTTAAATTAATTATACGCAAGCTATCTGAAGAATTAAAATATGGTTGCCTAACGAAATTTTGTCAAGAATCCTTTAGTTTGAAAGTTTTGAATAGTCTTTAAGTTTTTCACAAGGGTTGCCACCTTTTTAAAAATTAAATTCCATTATATTAAATTAAGTATTACAGTAAAAGGCGCGCAATGGTCCTGGCGGTTGATTTATCGGTGGCGATTTGGGATTTACTCCTGTACAACGCAACCCTGATGTGTCCGAATGAAGCTTTAACGCATAATAATACTGAAAAATCACATCCATTGGGCCAATCGTAACACACAAGTATTCGATATACAAATTTAAGAGTGGTGCAACTAGGGATATTCCGATACAAGTAAATACAAGTATGTACTCGATACTTTTGTTTCAATACCAACTACGTTTTTTACTCGAATCGTTGTTTCGATACCTACTTGGTATCGAAAGAAAAGTACTTGTATCGAATCGATTTGAGCAGGTGCCATATCTTGTCGACAATATTTGTTCTATAGAAAATAATTGCTTCGTTTTTATGAAAAATAATTTCTTTAAGCAATGACACCGCCAAAATCTAACTGCCCGTCTCCACAGGATAAAGTTTATATCTTGATACATATGTTAGAATATAAATAGCCAATGGAGACCGCTCATTGCTCTTCAAGAGCAATATATATCAGAGCTTATATCTTGCCATCTATTGCCGGCAATTTGGTAGTTTGACAGCTTCCTTTTTCTTTTGCACGAAAACTTCGTGTCGGCAACATTATTGATATTTTAATATAAAAGCAAAAATTGAGCTGTTTTCTGTCAAAATATTTGTTATTTTGTACTTGGGTGTAAAATAATATATTTTTTTAAATTTTATAAGTGATTAAATCCGGCAAAAATGCGTTTCTTACAAATGCTTATATCGAGATATAAAACGCCTACACAAATATTGCCACTGATATAACTTATATCTAGTGACCAAAATTACAGCTGGACAGCAATAAATTTTATCCTGTGGAGACGCCCATTAAAGTGTGGATATAATTTGACAAAGTTAGTGATACCACTATAAAGTGCAAGCAATGCATTGTAGCCGTAAAGTTTTGTGAGAACCTTTCAAAGGTTGAATTTTTTGTCTAAGTAATCGTATTACCTCTAGTGCTAC